GATCTCAGCCTCAGGGATTCATACATGCAGCTCTCCTTGATTTGAACTGGAGAAAGGCCAGAGTTTGTTCACTTTCATGTTCTGTAACTGAGAAAGATGAGTTCTCTTCTAGAGAAGCAGTAATTCCTTCCATTCTTCACAAATAGATGATGACTAAAGAAGGCCTGAGCTGAGTATAGATATTCTTACATTTACTCGAAATGAATGTAGCTCATAACTCTTATTTTAGCACCAATCTGGAACACTACTGTGAACAGATTTACAAAGTCTGTGTGTTTCTTACCTTGACATTCTGGTATTTATACTCATTCTTGCACTGATACTTGGGAGTTTAATGAAGCAAATGCCTGAAAGGTGAGTAGGTTGATAGTTTCGTATACAAACCTCTTCCTTTTGCGTACTCCATAATTTTCTTTGAGTTCTAAAGTACGATTTTCTTCTTCTGATACTAAGGAGTGAGGCACTGGTGGGTTTTTTTGTTGTTTGTTTTTGTTTGTTTTTGTTTTTGTTTTTTTTTTCTTCTAGCATGTGTGTCATCAACAGTTATTAACTTTGTTCTAGTTGCAGGGTCGTTTGTTGCTGGATTGAAAAAACTTACTGACTTCAACCATATGTTTTTAGAGTAGACACTTAACAAAAACCTTTACTGCATTTATAAAATGAGCAGTTTTAATCTGAAAGTCATTGAGAGAAACCAATAAAGAACTTCCTTGATGTGATTTCTGGTCTTACTCTGTGGAACTGTATCACATGTTTTCAGGTATTGGACATAAAGGCACTTGAAAGGATAAAGAATGTTAAATGTAGATGGTAATGAAAATATTATCAGTATTTATAGATCAGGCAATAATGTCAGTGTATGAATGTGATATGAATTATCTCTTTGATTTCATGGACAGTGCCGTGCTGTATATAGCTCACTGCAATAATGTCATCCTTGGTATACACAGTTTAACTTTTAGAATGTGTTAGTAATCTATTTGCCTTGAAATGCCTTATGAAAAGTATACTTATTATAGAACACATACAGTTGCTATCTGCCTAGTGCTATCTCTTATAGCAACTTAAGCTAAGAGAACACATTTGGAAAAAACCCTCTTCCAAGCAGAGAAATTTTTTTGTTATTGTTGCTTTTGAACTGTTGCTGGAAACATTCATCAACAGTTAGAGATGTAGTCTTTCAAGTGGACCTCCTTCACTCAAATTATATACAGATTGCCAGATTCTTCAAGCCTGTGGTCATGTCAGGAGTGTGAGGAGAAAGATAAAAAAAGAAAGCCTTTCTTTTAATCACTAGATCTTTGGAATAGGTATCTTGTTCATTGAATTGCCTTCCTTGTCATGTCACCAAATAACATCTTTGTAGAACTGCAGTAAGTGGAAGGAGAGAAAATACTGGAAAGTATTTCTGCAATTGGAAATGGGCTTGGCATATTTTCACCTTTCTGGAAAATAAATGCTGGGTTTGGTTCTTTGCTTTGCAATCCCATTTTTCATGCCGTTGAGTACTGGAACTCAAGAATAGTTCCAGTACTATCTTACTTTCTTTTCCAAGGAAAGAATAAAGGTGAGCACTGAGTAAACTGTGAATTCTTTTTGGATCAGACTTCACGAGTTCTGTTCTGACACACATTTTGGTGTTACTTTTTCCTGGGGGACTGTATTCACAAATTCTCAGAACATATTCTTCAACTACAACTTCACACAATTTAGTAAACATTTGAATAAATTTCATACCATTTTACTGAAGGAGGCAGAATACCTATTTCTTGAGTAACTGAGCTTAAATTAAATGCTCATAATAATTAAAATTATAGATTAAAATTAGTGGCTTGCCATTCTACTGCAGAAGTAGGTTGAATGAAAACCTCTATCAAAAATTAGAGCTTAAACACTGAATTAAGATACCGAATAATAGTGTGTCTGTAATAGGTGTATAGTCTTCTATTCAGGATAGTATTGTGACCAACCAAGTGTTGCACCTTGCTTGTAGAAGCTCAGGAAACACTGTGATACTTGGGCAAACACAGTGCAGCCTCAGCTGTAGAAATGTTACCTCTTTTTGAACATGATATGCACAGTCTCTTGGTATATGGAAATCTGTCCAGTGTTTAAGGAGATTGATAGTGTGGGAGACAGCCACAGATGCTCTATTAGTATACCTGAATGCTGAAGCATGGGGCAGGATATAGCTACTGTTCCCTTTTGCACCTCTGAAATTGGTGTAATATGAATTAGATTGTCATCAAATTTAATTTAATTTAAATTTAATTTGTGAAGCCCAGTAAAACAGAAATGGCTCTACATTGGTAAAACTTATGCCACCTGTATTAAATGCATGAGCAGCAATCAGTATTTGTGAAGACAGTGCTTTCCCAGAAATATTCATGTAAAGCTTCTAGGTGAAATCAGACCAAATTCGGATTGGTACCTGCAAAAATGGTGACCTCTTCCCTTCCTAGTTCAGTTTTCCTGTTGACGATACCCCTCCACCTAGATTCCCCCCCAGGCAGCTGTAGTGAATGGATCTGACCACAGAGGGAATCTGGCCCACTGAATTCCTTCTCTTTCTGTGCAATTGAATGAAAAGTGTGTCTTTTGAAGAACAGAGACTGAAAGAAATATTAATGACTGCTGAGACGTCTACAGAAAAGGATAAAAAAATTACTACAGCAGGGAAGACAAAGGGGCTCTGTTAACTCTTTCTTGTAGGTTGTGTATGTTAAAAGTAACGACTGAAGTTTTGTATTTTTGCAGGGAAACACACAAGGCTTTGAATTGTATTGTTTTAATTCCAGCTAACTGAATGAATTAACTGGAAAATCACACACAGTGCTTTGATTGTCTAAGTCTCTGTATGTGAGGCTTTGGGAACAGTCTGTTATTAGAAAAGAACAGCACTAACAAGAAATCAGCCAACGTATAATTGCTGGGTTGAGGGACAGTTTGGGGAAAGCTGATATTTGTTTATAAATTATTAAATAAAAAGCACATAATATGCAGGTCATCTCTCACTGCCTCCAACTTCAGATATTACTCATCCGCCTAAGCTTCGTGTTCTACGGGGCACTGCTTCTTATAACCACTTCAGGACTTGAAACCACCCGCACGTAGGAAAGGAGATGCCTGGACCTTTGTTACAATGGCAGTTTTGGCTATGAGACTGCACCAAAAGACATGACTTTTCAGTTCAAGGACAGGATTCTTGGCCAGAGAGCTGCTTTATGTGTCTAAAATACACGCAAGCACTTGGGACTCTATTTAGGTAGCCTAAATACTGGTCAGTGTTTCCTACTGACAGCAGTCATCTGTCCAATACCCTAAATTAAATCTGAAATAAAGCTTAAGAACAGTTTTGGCATTCGTTTTAGCGGGATGTTCAAAAGCATTTCCTTCCCATCAGTTTGGGAAGGAATTATGCAGCTTCTGGTTGTCCCTTGTGCTTTTCTCTGCCAGCTTAGTGCTATATGACCTTGGAATCACAGCCGCTTTTGGAATGTACAGAGAGGAGGAAGGTGGTGGCTAGGCTCACCAAGAGGCTGGAATGTATTACATCCTCAATAGTTTTAGCTATCAAATACCTGTTCCTGCTTCTCAGGGGGATGGAACTGTGGTTCTTTCACTTGTGAGCTTTTCTCTAGGAGAAGAAAAAACTACTATTGTTGGTGTAGCTCTTCACAGCTATACAGTTTCCTCTCGTTTCCAGTCGAGCTAAAAAATCAAAATTATTAGGGATTAGCTTTCTGAAGCTTTCTAGCTTTGTGGAAAGAGTATTCTCTTCTCCATCTTTCCTTTAGAAGTAGAAGAGGTGACTTCTGGGGACACACACAGCCCTTCTCCCTTGCCTGGCCACCCTCTCTAGGGGCAGCTGTAGGTGCTGGTAGCTGTGGTACTCACAGTCAGATGCACAGGGCACCCAATCCTCTCTGCTTCAGAGGTGCCTGTTGCAAAGCAGGTGTACTGACACCTAAGCAGTTCCTCACATGGCCATGCAACAAGTGGGTGGGCAAGGTTTGGGCCTCGCCATGAGCTGTGTGTCCTACAGACCAGGAGGCCCTGCGGATGGACAGGTGCACCATTACCTGGGTAAATGGCACTGCTGGACCCAGCTTTGGGCTCGAGTAGCTGATATGTACAGGTGATGTTCATGCTGAATGAACAAATCGTACTGTTACACCATTCAAATAGCGTTCATGCAACTTTTAACTGGTAGAGACTTTATTTTAGATTTCATCTACAGTTAAAAACTTCTGTATCCACATCATTGGGCAGACTTTCTCTCTCTGTTTATTCCTGAGGAGCCCTGCAGAGTTACAGCGAGGCCCAGGTGAAGTGATGTGAAAATTCTATCACTGATAATCGGCTACCTACCTAGTGGGTACAAGACCGTGTTGTGTCAGAAGGTGCTTGAGAGGTGGAACTGGGCAGAATTTGACTTTGCATAGCTCTTGATAAGAGCTGCTAAATACCTCTTTAACTGTTTTTTGAAATTTGAACATAATTTTCTCAAATTAGTTATTTTTCGACAAAAGAATGCAGCTGCATTTATGGAAGATCTTGACTTTTACAGTGTAAAACACGCATAGAGTTTACCCTCTGTATGCATGCTGCCTGCATAATTACCAACAGTTGTAACAAAAAAATACATGTTGTTATAAGAGCTTTCAACAGAAATTTAGAAAATACTGAAGCTATATGCAACAAAAGAAAAATTAAAAACAAGAGAACTTGGAAAATGTGTACACTTAGGAAAAAAAATCATTTTAAATCCTGTTCTATTATTCTCTCTCTGATATTAAAATCTATATAAAGCACTATTGATTTCCTTCAGCTCAACATAAGATAATTCAGAATATCCACCTTGCTGACCCCAGCTTTGAAGGGAAAAATCTCAGCGGTCTTCATCTGTGTCTTACAGAAAGCCTCAGTACAACTGTTGCACGTACTGAAAAAGATGTTCTCACTCAGGAGCAATTCACCTTCCCCTCTTCTTCCATCAGGACAAGGAAAGTTACGGGATTAAATGATCCTTGATCATGAAAGCAATTGCACTGGAGACACAGAATGCACGTCTGCTCAAATGCTGGTAAGGACACAGCGCTTAGAGATAACAGCACAGCTCTGCCAAGAAATGCTGTCCTACAGTGAGGTCTGTGATTAAGTTTACTGAAGGAAGGGATCTTATTTTTGCCTGCTGCAGACAGAGGGTGCATCTCAAAGCAGCATAAAGTTAAAGATAGACACGGTGTCTGGTTCAGATCACGACACAAAGAAAGATTCTGGTTAATTAGTATTTATTCTTAGTTTATAGTTACTCCGTTCGGCTTGAGCAAACAAGCAGGAGTTGGAGCCCCATAGAATTGCTTCTCCCAAGTGAGCGATGATCTCCGTGCTGCGACCGCACTCGGGATCGGACTGTCCCTAGTCTGGCACCGCTCCTGGGCTCCGCCAGCCAAAACGCCGCCCATCCCTGCACGGCCCCGCTGCCACTGTCACAGCGGCCACGCCGGTCCCCGAGCGGCCTCGACGTTCGTGGCTGCAGCCCTGGGCCGTCCCGGCTCCTCTCGGCCACGCCGCCGCACGCCCGCATCCCGCTGGCACCGCCCGCTCTCGGTGTCTCCGCTGCGGGCGGCGAGCTTTCCCGCCGCTCCTTGGAGGCTCTCGGTTCCCCTTTTTCACCTCCGCTTTCCGTAACACCACCACGGCTTTTACCAGCAGCCACCAGACAGCCGCCGCGCGCCCGTTTATCTGACACAGAGCTATTTTTGCCGCGAGGTCTCCCCGGCGCTTCTGCGGGCGGGCGGGAAGCAGGGAGGCACCCGGCGGGCACAGGACCGGAGCCCCGCCTTCCTGCAGCTGCCGTTCTCATTTTTTTTACACGGATTTCTCCCTGTGGGCGCTCAGGAGCTGAAACGTTCCCGGCAAGGTCTCCTGCTTCTTTAGGCAGGGTGAAGCAGCCGTTTTACGGGCGCCACACTCCCCGTGCCTCCCCTCCAACGCCCGAGCAGAACCTTGCCGCACTCGGCCCCCCTCTCGCTCGCCACTCCCAGCACAGGCAGCTCCGCGGCGGACGGGCGCGCGGCCTCCCTCCTGCAGCCATAGGGCGCCGCCTTTCCCGCTCTGCGATGCGATTGGTCAGCTCGGCCCGGCGGGCGGGCCGCGACTACCAACGGTTCCGCAAGGTGGGAGCCTCCCAGCTGGGGCGCGAGGTGCGCGTGGCGATGCTGCGCCTCAGGGCGGGCGCGGCTGGAGGTCACGCTGTGCGTGATCTGTGACTCTCCTCAGAGATCTTTTTTTGGGAATGTCTGCTTTAAAACCTCGACGGGATTGGAGTTCCTTTATCTTAAGGTGGCGTTGGTCATTCTCTTTCCTTACCTGTCTCGAGGAGTTTAGGTACACGGTTTAACTGTGCAAACACAGCTGTGTGTTGCCCTGAGCTGTGCTGCCCTTTGCAGGGAGCGTGCTGAGGAACCGTTAATTTAAACAGAGCTGAAATAGCCCCCCGGGAACTGTGGTTTCCAGTTGCAAGGTCACCTGCAGAGGGGAAAAGGGCTTCTAAGCTTGGACATAAGCAGAATTTGTGGTCTTTCTGCCTCCAAAGGGCTGAGGGAGGCCTCTTGGGGGGCGAGGGAGGTTGGGGGAAATGAGAACATTTACTAAGGGCAGTTTAGCAGTAGGCTTGTAGGGGAGGTGAGTTGGGGCTGTTTTGTTACTGTGTTAATGGTGCATTTTGCAGAGTGGTGCTTCCAGGGCTGCGCCAACCAGCCTGAGCCAGGAGCAGCTGCAGGGCAGCTCTGCCTTAGCTATGTGTGCAGTTCCTGTGCGGGAGCTGGAGTGGATGAGGTGCTGCTTTTAGCGCATGGGAGTCTGAAAGTAAAACCAAAGCACACGTACTACTAAAAGTATCTGCTCCAGAGCTGCTTCTTCATAAAGCAACCTGTGAAAAAGAGAAGCTGGAGTATGTTTTGTTCCTCACTAAATTATGGGAGTTTTGTTTTTCTACATCTTAGTGAGCTGACAGTAAAGGCCTATTGAAATAGCTAAATCAGAATTGGATCAGGTGTTTTCCATGTCATACTGAGTATCGGCAGCAAAGCATTTGGCTCCAACAGTGCAGTTCCTTGAGATTTTGCGATTTTGCACATGTGGACATGTAGTCTCTGTACCGACTTTGGTCTGACCACAGGCTGTGGGTACAGTATCCTTATGCTACCCTTACATATGCAAATATATGGGCTTAAGGATCGTTAAAATGATTTGAAGCTTTCTTTCCCCTTTTTCTGCTCCCTTCCCCCAGTTATTAATGAAAGTGTGTAAATTTGTATTCAGTAAATGCTTACAAGTCTATTTTTTTTTTTTTTTTTTTAGATTTTTTTTTAGATTTTTTTTTTTCCTTTTGCTTCCAGAAAAAGTTAACAGCACTTGCTACCCATGTGGTGGAAACGTCTGGATGACTATGAATCAACAGCAAACTCTCAGCTGTATGGCTGCTACAGGTAAACTCGGAGATTAATGATGTTGATGATGCTGTGGAAAGCACAAAGCTGAGCAGGAGCTTTCTGCTTGTGTTAACTGCTTGATGGTACTTCAAGTTCTGTGCTGTATTCAGGTACAATCTTTTTCATTATCTAAGGGTTCTGCAGGTTCACTGGACAGAATTGACTTTGTTTTGGAAGTGTGATGAGATGGGGCTGGCAGATGTGGTAGATGGGATTGGGCAGACCTGTCACCCTGGGAAGTACGGGAGATGGATTATGGTTGTGAGATGCTGGAGACAAGATTTCAGTGTGTCTCTGCTTCTCCTGTGTTTTTGGGAAGGTGAAACTTGAAGTCCAGAACCTCAAGTCCAGGAGCTTTTATAAGTAATTTCTGCTGTTTTCTGTTCTGGAATGATGGTGATCTTCCTTCAGCCTTTGCATTGTCTGACAGCTCCGAGTACAGATGTGTTCCAGGGCTGAAAGCAGATATAGTTGTCAGTGTTAATGTACAAACTGTTACAGCTGGTTTTCAGAGGAAGCCTTTCTTTTAAGATGAAGTGTATACTGCATGCTTCTTGGAGCTGTCTTCTAAGACTTTCTACAGGTTCATGAAGGCTATATTGAATGTTGGTGAGTAGATAACAAAGAGGATGTGATTGAGCTCGCATTTTGAATTAGCTCTTCCACCACATGGATTAGAGTCCACTGCCCTCCTTCTAACTGATGGATTCAACCATAGATTTACATTGCAGGATTGCTAACGCATTTTGTAAAGTCCATGAGCTTTTAGCAATGCTCTACACAGAGTGCAAATGTCGAAGTAGGTGTATTTCTTGAGGTAACACTTCATGCTGCACTGCTAGCTTCTGAACTTGTATCATTACTAGCAGAGCAAGCATATGCTTGGAAAGATACTTTTTTCCTGAAATGCTGCTGGTGGTTTTGCTTGAATTTGCCTTGTGATACATGCTTGCTTCTATTATGCATCTTGTATAAGGAAAATGTTCTCTGATAATCAAAAGCTAGCAGAACACAGGAATATCACACTGTCCTGCTGTCTGCCTATCAGTCGTTCCAAAATGGCTGGTTTTGTCAAAGCAAGAGAAATTTACTTCTGCATGTGGCAAAGTCCTGATATGGGGGGTATCTCTGAAATGTCTGCTTGTGGCACTTAATTGTAAGTACACAATTATTTATGACTGTCCTTTCCCCATTGTTTAGTTTGACCTTTCTGCCATCTTGGTGGGAGGTCTCATTTTTATGTGCATTTTGTGTACTTAGGAATTGAATGTAACTTATCTGTTTATGCGTTTTGCAGCATTCATTAAGATGACTCTTTCCCACTGCACTGAATGCTTTCCCACTGAATGTGAATGATGCATACAGTGCTGGGCCATGTATATTATTTTTCACCAGAAATACATTTTCTGTCATGCAAGTGACCAATTGTACAGAAAAAAAAAAAAACTTGGGAATTATTGCAAGTTAGGCACATTCGTGACAGACAAGTGGAATGAATACGTGCACTGAGATGTTTTACTTTCTATAGCTTTTCTTATCACTGGACAGCTAAAATTCAGGCTGTCAGCATTAGCACCATGTTTCCCTGTTGGCCCTTCAAATTCCAAGTATGTTTGGTGAATTGCTGAGCTGAGTGCATTGGGGTGAGTGTGCATGATGCTGGTGTTGCGATCTGTGATGTCTAAAATAGCTTCTAGACCTGCATGCTTGGTGCTTCTAGAAAATCCTCTCCATTTAAGGAGTAGAGAGGCTGTAATGAGCTTGGAGTGGAAGTTCTTCACCATGGCTCTTCAGATACGTGAGGCTACTGATGTGGGGATTGTTGCTACAAGTAGCAGTCTTTTCAGCACCTGGGCCTGTGCTGTTTGGAGGAGGTAGAAGAGAGGAGCTGGTGCACCAGCCATTCACAGCAAGCAGTGTAGTCTATTGCCCTTGGACGTGCTGGATACATCAACCAGGAGAAGGCAGGTGTCTCATTTGAAGCATGCTGCTTTACCAAGCATCCTGCACTGTATGGTTCTGTGCTCACTGAGAAGTTGGAGAAATACCCAGCCATGCAGTTTCCCTTTCCTTATTTCTGGGGCAACAATGGATGGGCAATTCCTATAAAGCTGCTTATGTGCTTTTGTAATTGGGGTCCAGGCTGCATACGGAGACAAAAGAGCCAAATGTAAACTCCAGCCATCCTGGGGCTTCTGTGTTTCTTTCTGTGGGGCTTCCAGTCCATTAAACTCACATGGATGCCACGCTTTTACACTCGGAGCTTGTGTTGCACAGAGAGAAGTGTCTGAACAGTTGTTCTGTAGACTTATGTAGGGCAGTGCATGTTAGATGCACCTCCCTCTCCCCAAGTCAAGTCACATCTCCAGATTCATTCAGTTCAGAGCCATTTGCCTCAGTAGATCCTTAGCCATCTTGTCTGATGTGCAGCTCCCATACCTACCACAGGAACAGCTCATGGTTTCTGATGGATTTTCTTCACCTAAATCATAGCAATTAGAGAAGCGGTAGTTAAAAAAAACAGCTAAAGAACAACAGAGCTACACAACAAGCTGCAGGAGCATTGCTGTAGTGCTTGGTGTCCAGGCAGGATGCCCACAGTGCTGCAGCTGTTTTCCCACCTTACCTTAACTCTCCGAACAAGGGTGGAGAAGAAACAAGAAGAGCAAGACGTGGCGATTGCAACATGCTGCGATAGGCTGATTCCCTCTCCCTGCCCTGTGACAAGCACGGTATAGGCCACAAAGGGCTGCAATCTTTACTGGGGCTTTTGGGGCTTTTTTTTTTTCCCCCTATGAATTCCGTCTTTGCAGTAACTTCTCCTTGCTGAAGAGAGGGGCACTGACTAATTAACAGCTGTTCAGTAGCAGATACTGTTGATAATTATCTAACTTGGAATACAGTTCTCCTAAAACTCCAAGCAGACACTTTCTAATGCCTGGATGATATGGACTCTGATTGGTGTGTGAAACCAGCCCACACTGTCCTGAGAAGATGAATCCTACTGTTTGCAAATGGCTGCAGTAGATGATACCTGCAGGCATTATAGTCATCCTGCATAGTAGTCACCAGTGTATCACAGGCAACGATAGCACCGACTGATAGACTCGCTCATGGTTTTAAGTCAGAATAAAAAACAGGTTGGTAGGTACCTGTTTCGCTACTCTCAATATGGTTATCTTGCACTCAATGGTGGTTGTTTTCTTCTCAGTCTGAAATCACATTAACATTAGTCATGCAAAAGGCCATGGTGTTTTGAAATAAATATTTATCAACATATCCTATTGTGGTTTAGTTTTAGTCTCCTGATGTGGTTGACTGGTGTCTCATATGACCATGACATTTGTAAATAGAGCAAAGAGGGTGTGTCGTTGCCCTTTATTTTACTGTCTTCTTGGTAACTGTCAGATTATGATATTCCCAATGTCAGACCTTCATGTGAGATTGTAACACTGCAGACAGGAGAGTAAGTTGAGTCCTTGCAGTTGCCAGCTTTTCCAATTGCTCTTAGCCCCGTTTCCTGAAGAGTGATTCAGGCACAGAAGTGCAGTGAGCCAGTGCCATTTCATGTGCCTGTGCAGCTGGCACTGCAGAAGAGCACTGGTCCCGCAAATGTCCTTTGGCATTATGAGTCCCAGGCAGATGCTGCAGGTGCCCTTGGGTGGCTAAGTTGAGTTGGGTGATTTGTTCAGGCAGCTGCCCCTTTCCCTAGGTTTCTTCACCTGTTTCCTACAGGTGAAATACCTCCAGGGTGCAATCATCTGCTGACACCTATGAAGAACTCCTTGTACCTCCCCCAAAGCAGGCATGGCTCAATCCTCTTAGTTACACTGTAGCTACTGTATCACTCATTGCAAGCTCAGTAATTTGGGCAGTCTTCAGGAAAAACATTTTTTTTTCCCCTTGATACCACCTGGGAAAACTTCCTCACGTGTATGGGAAAAACACATCTTGCCAGCAGATAGGAAAAAACCTTAGTTAAAACAGTGTAATAAATTAGCCTTTTTGTACATAATTGAAGGTAATATATGAGAGTTATACATGTAGATTCAAGGCTGCTGGAGCTGTCATACATAAGGTCAGTGAGGAGCTTGGAGGTGTGTGGGCTGCCATGTGGCTGGCTGTGGTGGGCTGAGGGAGGTCGTGAGATCCATGAAAGCTGCTTGGGCCCTTGTATCATGTCTCTTGTTTCTGATGATGAAACACATAAAACGTCTCTCCGTGTGCATTATGGTACTTGCTCTGTACTATAGTGTTTTTCTTCATAGAGATTTCTGTAGCCATGGTTCACAAGGAAAGTAATTTGTGATTGTGGGGAAGTTCTCCTCCACTGGAGGCAATGTTTGAGAGTGAGCAGGCAGATTTCATGCCTGGATGGCAGGCTGAGGCAACAGTGGGAGCAATGTTCATACAGTCGCTTCCACACTGTGCAGTGCTCAGTGTGTGCAGTTCTGCCAGGCCTGCCTGGAGATGGGGCTGACCAGACCCTGAGCTGCTGTCAGGTATTTCTCACCAATGCTGTCCTCTGAGGGGAGAGGTAAGGGCAGTGTGGTAGGGCACGTCTACATGTGTGACTGCTGCCTCCTGCGTGTGCCACTGCCCAAGTGCTGATGTGTCCTTAAAGGCTGTGCAGGTGTATGAAACTGAGGGCCTGCTCCCCTGAATGGCCAGGCATTAAGTTTAGTTCACTGTGGATTGTATTCTCAGCTCGTGTGAGCACTCCTGAGGGTCACCCAAACCATGCTGTGTTAGAGTAAGTGCTGTTTGCATCTTTCATAGCCTGACAAAAGCCTGCCCAGCCACAGCTGCAGGAACACTGCAATCAGCTTAGGCTGACATGCTGATTCAAGTTCCTAGATCACTTTGGCTGTTTCAAACAGTCATAAGCTGCAAAACTAGAATACCTCATGGATGAAGCTACCAGTTATACAGTCGAGAATGAATGAATAAAACAAAGAAATGTAGAAACTAAAGTCAGTCAGCTTGTTGCCTAGGAG